GGTTTTTCTGCTGAACCGAGCAACAGTAGTTAAAAGAAATCAAACCAGAAGGATTTGTTGGTAAGGAAACACAGGAACACAGCAGGGACTTGGTACAGCACAGAGCTTCCAGCCTCCTCTCGGAGAAATAGCAGAAGTTATTTATAGGGAAGACTGCCTACTTATCTAGTGACAAGCTGATTAAATGAGTACCTTCAACTTCATCTAAATTCTAGAAGCACATCCTGATCCTCCATCTCTTCAGTGTCCCCTAATTCTTAATACTTCCTCTAACCATGAAGAAATTTGGATTTTTAAGGAGGAAAATATTTGGGCTGTTAAAAGATACACCACAGAAACTGTTCCCTGAGGAATTAGCTCCTGACAAGCTATTCAAGAATCAGCTCCTCCATACAGTGGAGATGTTGTTCTTTATGCTTGATGGTTAGTGTTTTCCTTTCAGCTGTACCAGTATATGTGCTTGTTCAGTACTGGACATTACAGGCTCTGCTCTCTGCAGGGACACTAGTGCCAAGGCATTTTCTTACACAGCAGGTTTGTATGCAATCTCAGATTCTGATGGTTCTTTCAGACCTTTAGATATTTAAGCCTCTTAATATATGCTTAAGTTTGGCCTTCTCAAGCAATAGGCGAGACAGACTATGGCAGGACTTTCCAGAAACACAGTTCATTGCATCTTAACATTTCAAGTTTGTCTCTCCTCACCTGCTCCCCACCCCACATTCCATGCCAGGTATGAAGCAACAGTATTTCAGGCATTGCAAAGCTTCTGTTTGTCAAAAACACTTTGTTCCACACCTCAGTACTACTCTTGCCAACTCCTCTTCCCACTCAAAGAAAAGCTTTAGGAGGGAGTAAAATGTTAACTGCCTCACTGGCATTTCCAACTGCTCTAGGGAGCAGCTGCTCTACATTCTATAGCTTTGCAAGGCCTTGCAAATGCACACTGTTGTTACACCTCTGCACCCTGGGTACTGTGTTAGCTCTGGCATGCTTTACTTACACCCATGTGAGTGCTTTTAACATCTGGGTCCAGGTAGTGGGGGTTAATATTAAAAGGAACTAAACCTAGGGCCTGCAGGGAAGGTGGATAAACAATTGGCATGTCATTGGTAGTGTTGATGCTGACGGTAGCAACATTAGTTCCTGCACTGGATCCCATGTAAGGAATCCCATCCTGAAAGACAAAAGCAATGATTAGTATGTAGTATCAGAACTAGGAACTGCATTTTATAGCATCTTCTGTCAATCTCGGAGACTCAGCAATCAGATCAGACTTAGTCCTTCTAGCTCATCTCACTGCTAACTTTACAGGCGAAAAACAACAAAAATAATTCAGGTTTTGAGGCGGGCAAGTTTGTATATGTCACGGTTGTCAGAGAAGTAGCTGTTGAATGTCCTGTACTCACAACTCTGTGACCCCATCACAAGAGAGAACTTGTAAGGTTGTCAGTGCATATATTGGACTTTCCTATTAAGAGGAGAGACTTGTCTACATTACAGTTACAGGAAATATCTGAACTAGCTTCTGAAGAGAGTAGACCATCTGAAGCCGAGTACAATGTTGCCACAGCATCAGCTTACCACTACTGTAACCAGCCAGTTTAGTGCTAGTTTAGGTATTACTACTACAGACATAGTGCTATGCATTATGCTGTGCATGGAAGGATTCCACATAAACATGCAACTATATGGATAATGCTGAACAATTTGTAAAAAGAAGCTGTCTTGAGAGAACTGGTGCTAATATAGCCAAATAGCTATCTAGCTTTCACTGGGACCTGAACATTTTCTGGCTTTTCTGCCCAAAACAGGTATTGAATCTCTGTATATTAACACAGCCTAGCTAACCTTTCTTTTTGGCAGCTGGCCTTTTCAAACATACTGTGCTTGCATAAATCTGCCTGAAGTAGTTTGCAGTTCCACATTGCTAGGGGATCACCTTGCTTCTGTTCTCCTCCATGGATGGTGTATCTTTGCTGTGCCTTATGAGATTTACCAGCCAGAATGGGGCTGCCAACTGGAAGGGCTCAATGGCACCCATACCTCTCAATTCCAGGTCAAGGACGTACCCAAGGTAATTGCAGTATTTGCAATGTCAACAGGGCATTGTCTAAAAGGCATATATAGATCCAACTCTATTATCAGTTTATTAGTGGACAACCTGCAATGAACACATCTATGTCTATTAACTAGATACAAAGTGGACATCTCAAGCTGAAAAACAGGGTTTCTGGACATAGATTAAATCCCACACTGCTCTTCATTGGTATTTTAAGTTGAGAGCCTTACTTCTAAAGGTACTACACAGCATTGTACATCCCACGGCCTTGCAGCCCCACATCTGGGAAAGTGCCCTAGAAAGACTGCTGACCTTAGTCTTTCAATGACTAATGACAGCCTTATTTGGCCACAGGTTTCAGTTCAACAGGTTGCATGAGATGGCTCAATGTTTGAAATATATTAAAAACAAAGATGTGGAATCAACTTGGATTTGTCTGAACAAAAGCTTATGCACGGGATTCCGCCATTCAGACGTGGCCTGAGTCCTGTAGTTTTTACCTCAAGAACTCTTTTCCTGATCTCCGGTATCAGACTGTTGTCATAGAGAGCTTTCAGGAGACGGAATGTGTTCCCACCTCCTGTAGAAAGAGAGTCCAGCTTATTTAACATGCTTTCACCACCAGTTTTAATTGAAGCCTTTACAAACTCAGCAGGCTCAATGATTTCTGTGCTCTATTCAGGGTAGCGTCCTGCTTTGAGCAGCAGTAAAACCACAAGCTTCAGAAGAATGGTCACTGGGCAGGCCATGGGTTCATCCCCGAGTCCTTCTTGTAACACTGATGCTGGCTGTTTGACAGTGGACACTGTTCTAATACCCAGGAGCATGGTGTTAGGGCTATGCTTAGTTTGAGCACAGTAGCCCTGAATCTTCTTAGACTTGATAAAGTGATGATACAGTGTGATGATCATGTTTTTAACACTGAAGTACTGTTCAAATGAATAATTACTGGAGATGAAGTTCCATTAATAAATCTCTCCTACTTCCATCCCTGCCACTAAATTTAGGGTCTTAGTGTTCCCAATTAAAGTACTGTTTTCTGTAGTTTCTAATAATTGCTAGGCCCAACTTTTTCATTGTTGTCTCTACAGCACCAGCTCTAAGCAGGAGTAATCTAGTGCCCTGTATAAACTCTCACTAGGGAGCAAGAAGTAAAACTTACCAATAAATATTGCCTCAGATTTCCTTACAGCTTCCACTGGATCACAAGATTCATGAATACTGTCCAGCCCATAACCTTAAATGAAAAAGTATTAAAAGTATTTACCTTTGCCACTTCAGTTTGGAGGAAGAATATGGTATGTTTTCAATCCCCGCCCCCCCCCGCCCTCCTCCCTGAGACAAATGTCTCACCAGACAACCAGGGAAACTTCAGAGAACTCTACAACATAAACCAGAGTATACGTTTTAAAATAGTGCAGGGCTTCTGCATCCAACTGTACCAAAGCAAATGTTTGTTTTATGGATACACGTGCTCAGGGTCTAAGAGCACAGCATTTCACTCAGCAGGTGCAGGCTGAGGCACAAAGTCCTGCTGAGCGTTACCGGCTAACTTTAAGAAAGCAGGGGCGGGGGGGAAAGCTGTCAGTCTTCAGCTTGGCTGAGTCTGGACAGGATGTGCCATCATTGGTCTAGCATTACTTATACAAATATCTGATCTGAGTATTTTTTTGTAATGGTTAAAATGTCTGACTTTGACAGATTTGCCTTGCTGGGGTTCACTGAGTACAGGAAGTGCCAAGAGAGCCAGAAGAACATGGACATTTGATAGCGGCAATCTTTCTGCAAGACAAGGAGCAAAGTGTGCTGCCCAGGGAAGTGAGTACTAATTATTACTACAGTAACAGGTCCAAAGTTATCCTGAACAGTGATAGTGTAGGCTGCTCTATAAAGATCTTTGCTCGATGCAAAGCTCAGTTGCTGGTCATTACAGAAACATCTGGCTGGTTGAAGTGTATTATAGTAATGGTCTTCACTTAACAGCAGTAGTTGCATGGCTTGAGTACATATAGTGGAGGAAATGTTCCCCATGTGATTAAGGAGGATAAAAAGATGCCACGTAGTATTCAGGAATAAAAACTTCCTCCCTGAAGTGGTTAGAAGTGTTGCAACAAGATTTCTTCTCGAGGCCTCTAACGTATCTGCTTTTATCTAGAAGTTAGCAAAGAGCTCCCTGCTGTTCTCAGTCCCATTACTGAAACTTGACAGCGTGCAGCAGAGCTAGCCAAGCCCCTCTCC